AAGCAGAAGACGTACAGGCATATTCCCAGAGACATTGCAGCAATGTCTCTTTTCTGTATTCGTGAAGTTATTGCTCCCACACACACACATTTAAACTCGGCTCCACCAGCTATTGAATTTAACTTGCATACGAGCAGTCTGATCTATAATGGATTTAGCTAAAGGAAAAATCCTCCTAAAGTTTGGCCCACAGCACAGTGGTATACAAGTACCTGGGCTGCCACTGCCTCTACGTTATCAGAGTGCCTCACCCAGGGCATCCTACCCCTTTAGCAGATAGGCTGGATATTTGCTGGGTATGTGCTAGGTCAGTATCCCTCCTAAAGAAAAGTCCAGTGAGATAAGCAACCAGCTTAGCCAAGGCCAGATGGGGGGGGTCAGGACTCACCTTTTCACAATGCTGTGGCTTCAACCACAGTCATCTTTCAGCACAGATCAGCTATTCCAAGAAGCCACATCGCTGTCAGATAGGCACCACAGGCTTGCATTAAGACAGCAAGCATGGAAAGACTTCCCTCTGTAAGCATTCAGGTCAGTTAGCACCACACACAGGAAGCTACAGAATCATATCCCACTGGTGAGAAGTTGGTAATGGGGTTTTGGTTTTACTGAGCCGGTCATTAAACAGTGCTGGTCCCACATTACAGAGAAACAGGTAGCAACTCATAGAATAAACCAGATCATCCTGAAGTATTTACCTCTGGATATCTGTAATTATAAACCAAACATCATCAGCTTCTCTCTCTCCCTGCAGTAAATAATTAACTGCAAAAGAATATTCTCTTGGCTCCATCCTCCCCAATCAATTCTGCTTTGCAACAATGTGCCGCCTGGATTGCTCACTATATCTGTGCACCCCAGTGTTACCCAAACCCCTTTGGAAGACAGGAGAGCTGCTAATGTGCTTCAGTACAGCACAGACCTTTCCTTCAGGGTACAAGGGGGCATAACCCCCAGCACTTCCAGCAGACAGCTATGATATTCTCAGCTTAGCTCATGCTCTGCTGCAACATCACTGCAACCATCAGCGGAGGCGAATCACGCACTCTGAGCACTCCCATCACACCCCTCTGGACTGCCTGAGCTTTATTGCCAAGGCAGAGCAAATTTCCTCCCTGAAAGACAAGGTTTTCTATTCCTTTCATTGTTTTTGAATTATCCTCCCCACCTGTAGATTTCATCCATGGGTTAAAAAAAAAAAAAAAAATCAAACCAAGTCTTCTTTATAACAAACTTAATTTTTCTGGGAGACTTTAATTTTTGAATACTGGATCAAAGTCGAATATTGTGACTGCTTGGTCATGCACTGTAACCTGCACGATGACCTGTTCACTTCTTGCCACCTACCCTCATCAACCTGAATTTCATACAGACACTACAAGTAGTAGGTAAACCAGAAAACGTCCAGAGCACTCATTCTTTTTGCCCTACTGAAAGACACCTCCTGGCTATAAACCCAGTGGGGAGGAAGGATAATGCCAGGAGGAAAGAAAAACTGGCTGGCAGGAAGGCTGGGTTTGGTCAGACAGCAGATGGAAGCAGGCTGCATACAGATACACAACCAGGGAACAACGCAAGGGCTGCCATTTGATCCTGGTAGCCTTCTTAAGATACAAAGTCAAATGCACTTTTCACAGAGGCATAAGGAGAACACAAGCAAAAATGAGAGCTGGGGAAAACCTCCAGAACTGCAGGAACACCCTTCCTGCAACAGCCAGAAAACACAGGGAGAGGCAGAGGAGCATTACCACCAAACATCTTCATACTCACATACAATCTGGGTTCAGTTTCACATTTTTTATGTGTTTAAACACATACCAGATTTAGTTGAGCTGACTATGAAGTGTTCAATAAAAAACTCCACTGGGAAGGTAGAGTAAAAGAGAAAAAAAAGGCTAATTTAGACTGAAAAAGCAAGGAAAGAGAGGTTCAAGAAAGAGGTAGAAAAAAGAATGGAAGGAAAACCACGACACAAAAGAGATAAATGAAACAGATACCAGGGACAGTTTAGGAAAAGATAAACCATGCAAAAATGGAATGAAAACTGGAAGGGAAAGATAAGAGAATGAAGAACATGCCATGGCAGATCAGTTGAATAGCAGTTGGCAAATGGATAATTTATTTAATCTCATCCGTATTTGTGAAATAATTTGTTTGATTAACACTCTTTTGTGGTCTTCAGCCAGGCATAGAACTGATCAAATATCATGTCATAAATATATTATTAGATTAATACAAGTAAAATTCAAATACATTCAACATTTTCATCTCCTGCTTAATAAGCTCTGGTTCTAAGTTTACAGTTCAAAAATGTTAAAACAGAAAGCTGGTAATAAATTACAATTAAAGATTACTTGAAGTACAACCATTTTGCTTTTCTTAGACTGACAAAAATACATTTTACTGTATAACTCATCTTGAGAGACAGAAGAGAATCACCACCCTCCCACAAGGAATCCCTCTCTATAGGCAGTACTTTTTGTCTTGATTTTATTTTGTTGAATGTTTCCCCAATATTAAACTTTTTTACTCCATAAAGGTTTTTTTGCCCCAAGAAAACCTGGTGACTCCAAGGGCAGCCTAATAGAAAGGTAAATTTGGGGTGCACTGGTAGCAGGAGGGAAGGCAGTGGGAGCATATCCAGCTTGGAAGCAAGTGTTTATGTTTGAGCTAAGCTTTGCTCCTCTTAAAGGAAGGGAAGTCAGGTGAAAGATGGACAAGGATGGCTCAGGATCTCTACTCTCACAGGGAGAACTCTCCCACACTACCAGCAACCTTCTCCTGAAAAACCAAGAAAAAAAAAAAGGTCAATTGGCAATTTTTCAGCCTGTTTATCCCCCCTCCCCCAAGACAATAGAAAGGTCCCCTTGAGAGTCTTCAGACCATGGGGTGAAAGCCATCAAAGGCAGACCATCCCCACACACGTGGTGGCAGGGCTGCCAGGGAGCCCTGGGAAGCAGAACCAGGCTCAATAAGGAAACTGGCCATGGCTTTCTAGGCCAACATCAAAGGAACACGAGGCTACTCCCACTGCTCCTCTACCTTTACCACGAGCAGCAGCCAAGAATCAAATTCACCACAGGAGAGAACCACAACAAGGGTAACTCCCTGGGGCCGGAAAAAGTGTCCCTCAGGTCATAAGTCCTGTTTAAATATCTCAGCAATATCCCAAACTGAGATAATTATTGCTAATTACAAGATCATTTTTATGTAAACATGAATGGTATTACCACGCATACTTCATCTCTTTTTAATTAAAAGAAGTAAGAGGTTCACTGAGATAAAAAAAAAAGACATGCTGACAGCTCCCACCCAAAAGCAGACTTTTCTGCAGTGATAACACCCATCAGCCTCCAGTCCCACTGAGAAGACTGAACAGGGAAATCAATCAGCATCAGCCTCCCCAGTGCTGAAATGAAGCAGTTGGCACATTATTAATCACATAGGAAAAACGTTTTACGAAGAGAAGGAAAGGACCAGACACACAGAAGGGGGATACACATGGATTCAGTCATGGCTGTCTTAAAAACACTTGGGAAAATCACACAGATCACCAGCTGTAGAATTAAAATACTTCAGAGCTGTGAGGGATAAGCACATCAGCAATTCTGAGTACAGCAACTCTTTAGCTGAGCCCACACCAAACCTCATGTGCTTTCCTCCATTCAAAACCAGTTCCTGCTCCAAGGTGCACATCCTACCCATGCCAACCAGACTGAAGTACATTGTGACACAGCCTCACCAGGAGTTCGTACACCCTTTCTGCATTTCAAAGGCCCATCCAGGAGCAACTTGCATATCACAAGAGAGATATGACCATCCAGCTTAGGACACTGAAATAGTAAATGGCTTGACCTGTCATGCAATGGCTTCACAAGCCATTCCTGCTGCACAGTCCTGTTTCCAGCTGTCCTAAGCATTTCTCCAGCAGCTCCAGAGTTCGCCAGTCCACTCGGACTTCTCATCGCCTCTCGTGTCTCCAGGCAATTTAAAACACATCCCCAGTTAGGACCGGTATGGGCCAAGCAAGCCATCGGATGCACCTTCACTTGGGGTGAAGACGCTGCAGCTCCGGCCGCCGCACCACCCTTTGCAGGGCAGCAGGGCGCAGGCAGGCTCGGCACGCCGCAGAGCCCCGGCGGCGAGCGTCCCTACGAGGGAGGGAGGTGTCACCAGCTCCGCAGAGCCGCATGCTCGCAGAACGGGGAACCTCGCTCACTTGCTCACAGATACAAATACCTGCGCCTCCGCCACCTGCCTGCCCCCTCCGCGCCTCGCTCCGGGCCTGGCGACGCCTGGCACCGACATGGAGCTGGTCTCTCCTGGGGGTGTCCGAGCCCAGCAGGTATCTGCTTTGGCAAAGAGTGGGGAGTCTGGGGCTCCCCCTTTGAAGCATCACAGGAGCGGCGTGAGGGATGCAAGGGGATGAGGAAAGACGGGAGCAGTGGGCTGCAAACTGGGGGTGCTGAGAAGAGGAGGCGAACACGGCTGCAGCTAAGGGATATGGAGGGGAGCGGGACGGCAAGGGGGGGGGAAGGAAAAAGGGCTGCAGCTTGGGAGTGGAGGGACAGGAGGGTGCACAGTGCGTGCAGGGCAGGGGATGGAGGGCAAAGGGGGTACAGAGGCTGTGGCTCGGTGGTAGCCCACCACCCTCCCACCCCGGCGGCCTGCCGGGGCTCGGGTCGGCAGGCAGCGCGCAGGCAGCAGAGTCATGGCGCGGCCAGGCGAGCAGGTGGGTGGCCGCCACCGCCCCCAACACCCCGGGCCCCGCCGCCGCCCACCGGGCCGAGGGTCAGTCCCTTTTCACCGCCGCCCAGGGCACGGCGGGGCAACCCCGGCACAGCAGGGGTACGAACTTGGCGGCGGGGGGAGCAGCCCCGCTAACAGGTGGCGGCGGCGCTGCCCACCCGTGCCCGCCGAGCCGGTGGGCGCTGCCCCTGCGCGACGGCGCGTCCCACCCACCCCGACCCAGCGCCAGCCCGCTCCCGGCGGTCACTCACCGGCTCGTCCACCCCGCCGGGCGGGATGCGCGTCCTGGAGAGCCAAGCGCGGAAGTTTAAACCCGGGCAAGAGTATTATTCGCTTTTGCCCTTCCAACGTAGGAAAAAACCAAACTAGATGAGGCGCCCCCCCAGGCGGGAGAAACCCCGCTCCGCTCCTCCCCGCCGGGGGCTTCAGCCGCGCGTCGGCCCGGCGGCGAGGGGAAGTTTCCACCGCGGTGGTGGAGGCGCCCCCGGCGTGCCGCGCCCGCCCCGCATTGGCACGGGGCGCCGGGGCGCTGTGCCGCCGCCGCGCCCGGACAATGTGCGTGCGGGGAGAGCGGGAGCGGAGCGGGAGCGCGCCCCGCCGGCGGCCGCGGCACACGCCCAGCCCGCGCCCCGCCCTCCCGCCGCCCGGGCCCGCCCGCCGCCCCGGATTGGCGGCCCCCGCCGCCTCCGCCCTCCGGGTGGGCCGCGCCGCCTGTCAATCAGCGCCGCTCGGCGCCCGCCCGCCGCGGCCCGGCCGCGGGGCGGTCCCTGGGGCGGCGGCGGCGGCTGCAGGGGGGGCCCGGGCGCTGCCTCGCCCCGGCGGGTGATCCCCGCTGTCTCGGCTGCCCGGGAGCCGCCGCGATCGCGTCCTTTCCCCTCGGAGAGCCCTCTGCTCTTCCCGGCCCGCGGCGGCCCCTCCGCAGGAGCGCCCCGCACCCGAGGGGAGGGGAAGGCCTGGCGGCCGCCGCTCCCGCAGCCCGCCCTTCCCCGCGGGACTGCCCGGAGCTGCGCTGCCTTTGTCGGCGCCCCACGGAGGCGTTCTGGGGAGGAGAGCCAGAGACCCCTGAAATGTAGTGTCGATTGCCAGTCACGGTCCTGTCTGATAACGCGATGCGCTAAACTCGGCTCGCAGGGTGCATTTATCAAGCCCCTCTAAATGCCTAGAAAAATAGATGACTCCAAATTATTGAAGTGCAATTAAGGCCACAAAATAAAAGACACCTGAATTGACTCTGTATAAGGCAGACGGGGTTCAGTTCGGCTTAGCAGCAGAGATATGCGCTGTCTGAGCAGAATTACTGCGATTTCAGATGAAGGTCCAAGCGCGTTGAAAGGCTCTTGTCTGATCCTATTTGGGTCCCACAAGGAGCACCGCTGAAGCAGAGCTAGTAAATATTGATGGATTCAAGCTTCATGTCCTGAAATCAGGTCTGTCAATGCAGTGCTTCCCGTTCTGTCACAGCACAACAGACATTTTCTACTCTTGGGCACCGTGATTCCCCTATTACTATTTGGAAACTGGATAGTGGATTGCATAGTCACTCTTTTATCCAGCAGCTTGCAGAAGTAATAAAGCTTTGATGCAGAATATGATGTCAAATAAAGTACACGTTCCCGGTACTGGAAAAACACTGTTCTCTCTGACATATGTTTCAAGCACGCTTTCACAATTTATTGTTTCCATTAGAAAAGTATCTAGTAATCTGAAAATCGATCTGAAAACCATTGTTCTAGATACTACACCTGACACATAATAAAAAGAAAGCTCATGCCCTGCAGAGCTTGTAGCAAGAGCAGATTAAACATGTTCTAAGGATACCCGTTGAGAGAGTTGTGCAGGTTTTCTCAGGTCTCACAAACGTATTGCACCAGCACAAACAAACCTGCCAGAGCACTTTTCCAAACACCAGCACGCAAACAGACAGGTCCAAAGAAAAAGGCTGAAGCTTTAACCTACCTTGGAACTCTTCCCTTGCTTCTAACAAGCCCTCCTGACTCTGAATGACCTCTCAGTTCTCCACAGAAGCGAGGGCCGCAGCTCACGGGAAGCCAGCATCTCTCCCGAGCGAGCGAGGGCAGAGCAGCAGCACGCACAAAGGTGATGGGTTTCTCCACAGGCAGACACACGCACGCACCATGCACCGCCTCTCCGGGCTACCTGTCTCGTCTTGTTTTAGCCATTTCTAACAAGCAGGCAGGGTAATGGAGCATGCAGAAATCTTGCTTTTTGAAGCACCCTGGAAACAGGCTTGTGTTTTTTGGTACCTAGGTGGCCCAGAAGATCTTGTCGGGAAGCAAGCACCAAATAGGTAGTAATATAGGCACAGTTATGGGGGAACCTCAGTTTCATGCTTCTTGGGCTTCTCAGTGACTTACAAGAACCAAGAAGCACCAGAAGAGGAGACTGAAACTGCCTCTCTCTTGCTCATTCTTCAGTGCCAGATCACATCAGGCTGTAAGATACCTGAGGACTGTTTGTTTGCAGACTGCTGGAAGACAGAGACGGAATCACCTATTGGTGAGTCATAACCACACAATCGCAGAGGAGTGATGGCACAGACTCGCAAAGACACAGAGAGTGATAACAGCTTAAAACTGTCTTCTTTCCCCTTCTACTTTTTGATAAAAAAACAAAATACTGGGACTAGATTCTCAGCTGGGGCAAAGGAAAGTAACTCCATTGCTTTTGTCACAGCACACCTTTACACTTTCTGAGGTTGTAGCCTGTTCTGTTTGTCAAAAATTGTTCTTCCTGAGTAGATTATTCCTTCCTTTCTATAAACTTGAGTTTAATTCTTGGAAAATGGCTGGCTTGCAATGTTCTTGACTGTTGTAAGCCTTGCTTGACAGGGAAAGGAAGGCTAATCAAACACTGGGCCGCTGGCATGCAGAGCAATAAAAAGGAAAATGGGAGTATCTTAGGTCCTTACTGCCACAGTAAAACTCCAAAAATAAAATGTTTTGTTGCAAAATGCAGTGGAGTTGAAAAGCTCTTCCATTATTCCCATCCTTCATTTTTTAACGATTGTTTTCAACAAACTGTATGTAGCTTGCAGTTGGAAGGCCATAACTCATAGACGTGCTTATCCTGTCATGGCTTTTTGTACCACCATTGTAAATTCAGTCTGTAAAGGTACATTACTGATTTTTGTGGGTGCTGTGACCCAAAATTAACTCCTTGGTATTTTCACCCCGTCTTTAACTTCTGTAAGAGGGGCATTGTAGACAAGACCTAAACTTAACTGTCCACTGTGTGACATACAGACATGCCAGGAGCTTAGTGATCAACTGAACTTCCTCCTCAGCTACAGATCAAGGCTACATTTTTAAAATTAGTGAATTTTTTTTTCTCCCTAGTAAAAAAACCTCAAAAGAACATGAAAAGGTCTTCTTGTGACCATCAAAATCATCAGCAAAGTAACAGTAATTTTTTAGCTTCACAAGGTTATATGCTTAAATACATCCAGATATGCACCATATATTTTTGATATACTGGAGGGTTTATCAGTTCTCAGCAGATGCAGAGAGTAGATTAGTGGTGTCAGTTTCTATTGTTGTTCTGGATCTCCTGTTGTCACTATATCTACTAGTTCACCTGACTTTTCATGCATATTGTTTTCTGGTTGTTTCCACGGCTTTTGAGCTCTCCTTAGTCCATTTTCCTGGATGCACACCTTTTCTGTGTAACGAAAACTTTCTTGGAAAGTGTTTGAAAGGAAGGCTCTGTCACTGTGCTCCCTTTAACAATGTCTCTGAGAGCATACTGAGAAAAGCAAAGATCTCTGTGAGTTTTGCTTCCCCATTGCACCATATTCTTCATGACTTTTTAATTTAGTCCTCCTGCAGATACACTAGACTCAGGAAACCTGCAAGTCCTTTTCTCATACTGGGATGTTTTCTTGCTCATCTTTCCCTAAGCTTAGAGGATTAGTGTCATGGCAGAAAGCAAACTGGTAAGTAATAGACTTTTAAAAATTTCTGTCTTTCTAGGGAATGCAAATTGTTTCCTTGTAGTATCAGACAGAGTAACACAAGTAACTTGCCATGGCAACCAGCTTATAGAACAGAAAAAGATATATCATTATAAGGTGCTTTGTTACTGTAACACAGAAAGAAGCTGAGACCTTATCAGTTTTGTTCACTTGTGTGTCATGCATCATCTAGGTAGCAGAACCTGTCAGTAGAAGTTTGTATTCAATTCAGTGCAAGTCATCTGCCTTGTGGGCCTATCTGATACTTGGATCAAAGCTGAAGTGCAGTCAGAAGGAAAGAAGGAAGTGTTCAGAAGAATTGAAACAAGGCTGTATTCTCAGAGGCACAAAGACAAAGCCATTTCCTCAGCAAGCTGATGCAACTCTGAAGATGCCAGTAAGGGGTGAACCAATTCTGAAATTAATTTGGCTTGCATTCTCTGTCAGTCTCCATTATTTTACTGTCCTCCTTTATTTTTTTAAAGTGAAGTAAGTCTGCAGATCTGTAAGTGTTTTGGATTTACCTGGGAGAAAGGATGGAACAGGCTTGCATAGTCTGTCTTCAAACCCATTCTCTTTGCAGGGATGCTTCAGGGAAGGACAGACTCATTGCCACTCAGCTTGCTTGGGTTAGTGAGTGAATTTAGAAATGGCAAAGGGAATCAGAGGGCAGAGAGGGGAAACCCTCTAGTTACCACTTTGAGAGGAAATAAAAACTGAGTTTTGTTAGCTCAGAGGAGGACAGTTTTGAAAACTGTTGTTTGTGCAGAGAGGCCAGTGGAACTACCCTGTGCTGAGGATAGGCTCATGTGTAGATCTGGAGTGGGTCTAGGGTATGCTTTACACTGGAGCTGGAAACGATGTCTTTTGTGGGACAGATTTGAAAAGTGAAGGAAAAGCTGAAAGTTTCTTAATCCCTTGACTACTGATTTGAGCTACAAGTAACACAGCTCCACCTGTGTGATGGACTGAAGTGTATGCTCCCACTTCTATTTTAAAAACACTCTCTCCCAGTTAACATTTATGCTGTTCATGCACTAATACTAATACTTGAGAAACAGTGGCCAGCTTTCTGAGCTGCCTGGGGCCTAAACGAATTCACAGCTAAAATTCTCATGACTCATGGACAATTCTCTTCTAGCTTCCTGGTGAGGTTGTAGAGAAAATACTGCTAGATTACAAACCCTGACAATAGCATGACTTGGAAAGAAGCCTCTGAAAAGAAACTCTTAATGTATCAGATAAATCTATGTGAGATGCAAAGCTAGAGCTCACTCTTGACAATGAATTCTTATACTGTGAGTGACTGACTATAAAAATACTTGGGAAAAATCTGAGTCTCCTGCAACACAAAGAAACCATGAGATAAATGAAAGTCATCTCAAAGGAGCCATGCTAAAACCGTTCAACACTGTAATTTAACACAGTCTCCTAGACACTGGGAAAAGTCAGCGGGCTTATCCTTACTGAAGGTTGTACTGAGAGAGATTTAGCCACAAGAGACATCACAAGTGTTAAATGCCACAAGTGTTCACTGTCATCTCAGGGGCCTGGGAATCTTGGAGATACCTAAGACTTGGAAGCAGCGGTCCAACTGCTGAAAAAAAGACCAGTCAGTCCTGGCTGCAAATGGTTTTTAAGACTGACACTGAAC